GGAGAAAAAGCAAAGGATGTTGTTGAGAAAATGGCTGATGTAGGAAAGGCTCTTAAAGATAAAGTGAAGGCTGAATACGAAAAGGTATATTATACACATTGCTTGTTTCAAACATAACTTCGATTTTAAGGTGGCGCCCTCGGGACAAGGTAACAGGTTCATGGATGAAACTGGATACGAAAATGTTAGCTTTTTTTTCGTAATTTCATTCATGTAAATTGGTTTCAACTCATTTTATTAGGCAAAAGAGTCCGCTTCAAGCGCAATGGATGCTACGAAATCGGGCAAAGGAACGTATCCAACTAGCAATGTAAGTATCAGCTCATATGTATTGAGATTATTTTAAATACGTTATAATTTCATTCTCTGTTCAGTTAGGCCAGACGGAGGAAAATATCCGCGAAACAACGGAACGAAAGCTAGATCATTTGGAAAAGATGGCAAAGAAAAAGGTATAGATATTTCTGGTTACATTCATTAAGGCAGATAATTTACAAAAAAGACTTTTTGCAGACAGACTAGAGAGCCGACGTCGTATCTGAGAATATTCTAGATGATGGCTAGATTAAGAGAAGAATATTTTTCGCTGTGTACGAGATTTGGTAGTTTTTTTTCTTTCAGAAGTTCGTTGTTGTATTGAATATTATGTATGCTAATTGGCTATGTGCGTTTTTTTCTTGTAATTTGTTTTTTTTTGTTGATAAACTTAGGACTCCCATTTGGCAACACTTGTTTTAAAGAGCTACAGCTCAACACCCTATAATACTCAAATTTAAGAGAGGTAAACCTAATTTTTCCAGTTCTTCATAAAATTGATCCCCAGCTTGTCACTACTATTTCGCATATCATTGGAAAAAAGGAGTACAGAAGTATGATATAAGTAACGTAAGGCTACACTTTTGGGATTCCTCAGTATTGTTGTCGAATCTCTAGGAATTGGGAAGTTATTTTTGGTATCGTTTTCGTCTTCCCTCCTGCTGTGTAGTGCAAATCTTGCTCAGATTGAAAATGTAGAAAAACATTCGGAAAAAACATTTTTGTAGGTTGTTGTCAATTTCTGAGCAATCTTGGTCAATTTGATAGCTTTATTTTAAAAGCAAGAAGATTATAGAGGTGGTTAAGAACTAATAAGTTTTTATAGTATCCATTTTTCGAGTACCAGTGGGACTAGAACGGAACGAGAGAGTCTTCTTCATATAATGATAGTCATGTCTATAATCATTATTGCTAATGTCATCCTTGTATCCATAAGCTTCTCTCAGTCATAAACAACAAGATTAGCTTTTGAGAAAGCTGTTGGCCTGAAAATATCATCTCTACAAAGGCCGCATGATATGACGGCAAAAGCGCCAACTATCACTTTCAGACATAGTTACGCAAGCTATTTCAGTAGCATGAGGGTTACCTAACAACTTCAAGCCCATTTATCATCAATGTAGGCTTGGCTTC